CCGCGATGGCGCGCTCCTCCTCGATCAGCCTACCCATCCACACGCGCCCATCAACAGGCTCCCGCTCACACAGAGCACAGCGAGTCTGCGCGCAGACGCGACACCGCACGGCGCACGGCGACAGCGAGGTATCGAGCGCCATCTCGAGCGCGGTCATGCCGGCCTCGTTGCGTGCCGCGAGCAGGGCCGCGGCGTCGGCCCCGGCCCGTGCTGCCGCGGCGCTGCCCGAGCCGCCGCCGCCCGCCTCGAGCTCAGCAGCGGTGAGCAGCAGCGCGTCGAGCGCCTCCACAGCGGCAGAGCGAACCGCCTTGTGGAGCGGCGTGTTGCCGGCCTTGTCGGCCCGCGAGGCGTCCGCTCCGGCGCGAAGGAGCGCCTCGCACACGCCCGCGTGCCCCTTGTGCGCAGCCGTCTGCAGCGGCGTGACGCCGTGAGTGTTTGGCAGGTCGACCGACGCGCCCGCAGCGAGCAGGAGGGTGACGCAGTCGATCGCCTCGGGCGAATCGGACGCCGCGGCAGCAAAGAGCGCCGTTGCGCCCGTGTCCTTCGGCGTGTCCAGATCGGCGCCAGCGTCGAGCAGCACTCGGCACGCCTCTGCGTGCGCGCCGAGCGCAGCGAGCAGAAGTGGCGTAGCGCCGTCGCCGCGTGTCGCGTTGACGGTCTCGCCCGAGGCAATGATGCGCCGCATCTCCACCACGTCGCCGTCAGCGGCCGCCTGCGTAAGCGTGGACATAACTGGAAATGTGGAAGTCGGCTTCCCGTCGCAGTCCGCCGTCGCGCGAGAAGAATACAGGCATACACGCGCGCCCACTTCCGGTATGGCTGCGCTGCGTGCAGGACGGAGCTGGGAGGGGTCGCGATGGAGAGGTCGGCCCACCTGGCTGCGATGGCGGACTCGCTGTGGTTCGCACCGGGTTGCCGGCTCCCGGTGAATGGCGGGGCGGCTGGAAGGCGGGGAGGGAGCGGCGGTGTGGCGCCAGCTTCAAGCCTTTGAGATGGGCAAGGACCCCACGGTTCTGACTGTCCACACGGGGGGGCAGCGCCACGGCATGACTCCGGAGAGAGCGACTTGCCTCGCTGCGGTATGGGCGAGTCGGACGTGGCTCGGGGCGCAGCGGTTACCCGCCGCGGCTGTCCGGGTGTGTTCCGAGGCGGTCCGGGAGCGGGGTCGTGGCCCGCTGCGGATCGTGGCACAGATCGTCCCGGAGCTGCGGGCGTGGCTAAGGGACGCGTTCAGATTGAAGGGCGAGGCGCTCACTTCGGCGCTCACCATGTCGACGCTCTTCGAGGCCGCGCCCAGAGTGGTGGGGGGGATGTGGTCGGGGGGGGAGTGGGGGGTGGAGGTGGATGACGTCACCTCGTCCGGATGGGAGCTACAGCCGTGGCCGCATAACGTCCTGGTTACGGTCAACGAACATGGGCGAGGAGCCCTCGCGAAGGTGTACAAGAAGGCGGTGGCCACGGCGGAGGCGGGCAGGCGAGTGGTCATGGTTATGCAGGAGGCGCCGCGGGAAGGGGATCAGAAATCCCGCCGTGCCTACCAGAACCTGAGTAACACCGAAGTGGCAGTGGACGAGGTGCTCTTCTTCCCGACCGGGACGATCGCCTTTGGCCACGCGGCGGGATGGATCAACGCTACGGAGTCGGCTTACGCGAACACCCACGCTTGGGCAGGGGGGGGAGAGGACCCCCTCCGCCCGCCGAGCTGCCGTCAACCGGGAGTGCTCCGCCGCCACGCCCGACTGATGAACCCTCGGCACGTCCGAGTGCTCCTCTTTGCGCCGAGGAGGGATGACGTGGCTCGAACGATGGGCACCGAGGCGCTGCGGCGGCTCGCCTTCTTAGCGGGCGGCACCGGTGGGCGGGGGACCGGCGCACCAACGATGTGGGCCCCCACGTGGTATGGGGGCGGGGTCCGGCGGACGCTGGCGTGGACTGCGCAGACGTGTTGCGGGGTGGTGGACTTCATGGCACCATGGAGGGTGGTGCGCTGGCAGCCCGACTCCCTGTCGTTCCTATCTTTGTCGGACGGGGCCGTGGGGGATGGGGAGGAGGCGAAGGACGCGGCAGAAACGCTGCAAGTGCTACACGGGCTTGCGGGAGAGGCCCCGGAGGAGGCCGTCCCCGACGGAGCGGTGCCGGCCGCCCTCCCCCGGTTCCTGCGACTAGTGGGAATGGCGGAGGCGGAGATGGCGGGTGCGCTGCTCGGGATGGAGGGAGGCGCCCTGAGGATGGTGGCCCGGGTGGCCAAGCAGCGGGCGATACAAGTGACGCGCCACTGGCAAGCGGTGGGGATCCCTCTCGAGTCGCTCGGGATGGAGCGCTTCCCCACGCTAGCCGCCTGTCATGGGTGCGGCGGTAAATTTCGCACACTGTTCCACGTCAAGCCGGAAGACGGACCTGCGGCTACGGGAGTGGCTGAAGAGGTGGTTAGCGCCATCCTGGAACGGATCTCGGAGCGGGTGGAAGGAGAGGCGGAGGAGGGGATGAGGACGCGCCTACGCCAAGCCATGCAGGGACAGGGAGTGTTTGTGTGCTTTTGTTGTGCAGCCCCTGTGGTCCGTGAGAAGAGGAGGCGAGAAGACGGATTGGCGGCGAGGGGGCGGCAGCCGCCACAGCAGGCGAGCGCACCCCGAGCCGGGGATGCACCTAGGGATCGGCCTTCCCCGACGCGGATCTTGCCACAAAGGACGCGAGGCAGCCCGGAGAGGTTCGTGTGCCGGCAGCAGACAGGGTAGGCCTTCCTTATTGTTGTTCAGCCGGCCTACCTCATGATTCTTTTTCCTTCGCGGCAACGCGATGGCGGCAAGGCCTCTTTGCGCGCCCGCCCTCGTCACGCCGAAGACCAATCGGCGTCGGACCGCGGTGAGACCACGCCGCCCCCCGCGCCCGCCCGCGCCCGCAGCGTGAACACATACGCGCGTCCCTCATTGCACGGAAACATACGCGCCAGCCGCGCAGCAGCCTCACATGCAGCGCCGACCGCATGCTCGCGCCCTGGGCCGCCGACGACCCGGTCGGGCGGGCTGCGCGGCCGCCGCACACCACCAGGCAGGCGCACAACCACCCGCAGCGCGCCGCAGCCCACCGCGCAGCCCTGCCAGCCAGGCCTGCGCCTCAAAGACTCACAAACAGGCGCACAGCAGAGTACAGCACACAGCACACACCGGCGGCGCGCGCGCAGCACACGCAGACGCACGCGCGGATCCAACACGCACACGCGCACAGCACGCGCGCGCAGCACGCCAGCGCAGCGCCACACACAGAGCAACTCCCATCAGCAGCAGCAGGCCTGCCACAATCCACATCTCACACATGCGCGCGCACACTCCCCCCTACCGGCGCACGCATTGGGCGTCGCCGAGAGCTCCCAAAGCTGACTTCGTGTGGCTGCTTGT